TGGAGAGCCTGTGTACGTTGACCCCACTGTAGACTTCCACTTCATGTCATGCTACCTTGTGGAGAGCTTTGCTGAGCTGAAAGCAGTCTACTTGCTGTCAGAGATTCTTCCCACTTAAGCAGGCATTGCGTCTGTCCTCTGAGGTAGCAGTTCAGAATCCCACTAGAGCTAGTGCAGAGGGAGGTGCATGTTCTGGAAGCCATGGACACTATTACTTGAGCTACCAGATAACATTAAGAGGGTGACTGTACTTTGGACTTGGTGATCTGCAGGCAGACTTCACAGTTGACCAGTGATGACAGGCTCTGTTTCAAGGAAGGAGCAAGTGTAGCATTTGTGGCAGTGTATCATACTTCTCTTTCCTTCTCCAGTTGTTTCCTTCTCCCTAATCCCTTGATTGTCACTGAGAAGTCTGCCCCTTGTCCAAAACAGTTAACAAACTCAAAGACTCTGGGTCAGCTGAAGGTCACTACATCTCATGGTGTATGTGCTGGGTAGTACTTGTCAATGGAGCATATTTGGCTTCTGTCTGGTACACAGATTTCACATTAGCAGCACAAGGAGCTGTGCAAAGCACAACTACCTGGCCAAAATGTACACAGTCCTGTAGGAGGACACCTAAGCCTCAGCTCCTGATGTTGAATGTCACCTAGATCTAAAATGGATCCCTTCTACGAAGATTCTCTTGGTTGTAATTTCTGCTTGTCATCCTCCAGTTGATGAAACTTCTGAATCTTTCCCTTCCCTGCCCCAGAGTCTGTATTTCTTACACTGGTGAAACTTTCTCCTGTATGAAGGACTTCACTGCCTTTTAGGACCTAAAGTCATGTACCTTCAGGTAATGCTGCCCCTTCCTTTACTGATAACTACCTACTTTTGGTGATGCTTCTAGAAAGTATTCCTTCTGCTTTCAGTCCCTCTGTACTTTTTCTAGACTTAGTGGTAGGTCTTTGTGGCTTATTTTACTATGCTAATACAGCTTTTTTTTCCCAGTTGAGATGCTTAGAGAGACTTACTTCAAGCTGCTTTCAAATGCCATTTTTAAAAAATATTCTTTTTTTGACCCATCCATGTTGCCAAAGGCTTTATTTTTTGTAGTGTCAGGATCTGATACTTGGGACTGCCCAGTAAGTATTATCACAAAAAGCTGGAAAGATAGAACTGTCCTTCTGCAGTGACTCTCCAGTGGATAGAAGTTAGAGGTTTAAGGTATCGTAGCCAAACAGTCTGTGGAGATGCTGCCTTGTTATCTGAACACATTCCCATAGTGATACCGTAATGGAAAGACTGAGCTCTCAGAAATGTCCACATTCCTGGTATCTGGAGTGTTTTTACATGTCTCATCATCTTTGAGGTATTTGTGTCTGATGGAGTGAAGGTCAGTAATATATCTGAGGTTTCTGCAAAAGAGTGACCTGTCTGTAATCATACAGAACACATCATCCCATGATCTTAAGGGTCTTTTCTAACCTAAACCATTCTGATTTTATCCCTTGCCACCCATTGTGTGAACATACCAATAACTGTCTTTTAAAGATGGCAAGGCAAGTTGTGTAGCAGTAATTGAAGTGCTGTAAGCAATCCACAGATATGTCCCCTGCCTCTCCTTTCTGCTTTTTCTGAAGTTCCTTTTCACTGAGGCTGACAGAGGACAATGTCACAGAGCCAGATGTGCTGTCTCTCCAGCCCCTGCAGCAGCCCCAGGGTAGGCTGTACCACTGAGAGGGCAAAGTGCCACAGGCAGCAAGCTGTATCTGTGAACACAAATGCAGCCAAACGTGCTTGAAGTATCCAACCTGGAGAACTTCTGGTGCTGCTTTAGTTACCGGCAACCTGTTTTGTGCTCAAAAAGATGCAAAAATATTTCATCAGAACCACTGGAACATACTGAATACACTGATACATCTCAAAAGTTTGACAGAGGAAACCTCCTCTTCATTCCATGCAGTTTTAGCATAAAAGCTGATGAGTTTTCCCCAAGTGCAAAAACCGCTGATCTTGTTTTAATAGCTGCCATTTCTGCTGTAATTGGCATATCTAATATAAGGTTTAATACTTCTAACCAATATATGAATTTAACATATTTAGTACCTCTAACTTCTAACAGCAAAACTAGATGTGCCCCCTAAACCTAAAAGAGCTCCCAAGGCCAAGAAGGTGGAAACTGTCAACTCTGACTCAGATTCAGAATTCGGCATGCCAAAGAAGACCGCAGCACCCAAAGGTAAGAGTTCTGGTGCTGGACTGCTCAGCACCCCTCTCTGGGCTCTTTGCAGCACAGGTTCACAATCACGTTTATAACGAAGCAGAGCTAGTGTCTCTGAGATTAAACCCACATTGATTTATTAGTAAATTAATTACTAGTAGACTACTCAACCATGAGCCTTTTCTGTGGCAGAGGGTACTACTGACTTACTCTGGACAGTATGTGAACTTTTTATCTGACCTTCACTGTTGGGAATGTATTTAATGGCTCCAAACCCCCCTCTTTTTTTGTTCACCAGTTCTACTGCATACTGCTGAATTTCTTTGATCTCAGCTTTTACAAGAGAGTAAAATTCTGGTAGTAATTCTAGTACATAGCAATTTCGGGCTTTTTAAACCAAACCTTTGGTATCCCAATTGTCAGAGTACTCATAACACACCACACCAAGTGGTGTCATCAGAGGAGGCTGTAAAGGATGTGCCAGTGTTGATAGCTGAGGTTAACAGTAAATAAATCTACTAAACAATAAAGGTGAATTAATGCTGTGTGATCAGTACAGAAGGTGACAGAGGACTTGGAATACTTCAGGAGTTTTGAAGTCATTGATCTAATGAACTTTGCCTCTGTTTTGAACCAGCAGCTTGAATTGCTAGGCTGGATGGTAACTTTGGAAGAAGTATAGATGTAAAACCGAGGGAAATATGTTGTCTTTTACCGCTGCTGTGAAAAAGCTTGAGTTGTAAACTGAATTTGAACTTCAACATGTAGACACACTAAAGTAATTTCAGTAGGTTTCTTTCAGTTTGCTGAACTCTAGGGGTTTATTAAAAAAAAAAAAAAAAACAAACAAAACAACCAACCAAACCAAACCAACAAAAAAACCCAACAAAAACCCAACGAACCAAAACCAAACAAACCAAACAGAAGCCCAAAACAAAACCAAAGTTTAATCATATTCTCTTACCTAGGAAAAGGTAGAGGGGCAAAGAAAAGGAAAGCATCCAGCTCAGAAAATGAAGGTGAATACAACCCTGGGAAGAAAACACCTAAATCAACCCCAAGCAAGGTCAGTTCTATGTATGCTTTCTTGTCCTTGTGAAAAGAACCTAATGGATCACTTCACATACAAGGTACACGCTCCTGCTTAGGTGGGTAATACGGTACTGGGCGCTTAGGTGTGTTTAGAAATGAGATGTTACGAGAAGGCTTCCTCGATTTGGAGTATTAAAAGGGAAAATGTATGCAGCACTGCAACTGATTTGTCTTTTCTTCTCTAAAGAAATTCAAGAAGGCCACTTTTGACCAGGATTCTGATGTGGAAATCTTTCAGTCGGGCTTTGCCTCCGAAACTGCCCCAAAGCCACGGACGGGACGGGCCAGAAAAGAAGTTAAATATTTTGCAGAGTCTGATGAAGATGATGATTTTGATATGTTTAATTAAGTGCCCAAAGAGCACACAAATGTTTTCCAACAAATATCTTGTGTTGTCCTTTTGTCCCTTCTGTCGCAAACTTTTGTACATTTGACTTATTTTATGTGATAATGTAATTGATGGTTTTTATTATTGTGTGTAGGCATTTTAACATTTTGTTCTTACACCTACAGTTTTATGCTCTTTTTTACTCATTGAAATGTCATGTATTTGTCTGACTGGCTTGTAGAGATGTTCTAGACAGCTGTGCTAAAGCACATTTTAATTGTCATGGTTGCAGACAGCAAACCTGCTTTTTGAAATGAAGTTTAAACATTAAAAAATGGAAAACTACTCTGTGTGTGTAAGATTTGAACTAGAACAACAACGTCTACACTTTTTTTTAAAATAAATATATTTTATTCTTTGCCAGGAGACTCCATGGAAAAAGGTAAACAGTATATGAACATAGAAAGCATTGTTAAACAATCTCAATGTACAAACAGAGCCAGTGAAAGTACATCACAGACTTGCTAGAATATAAAAAAAAAAAAAAAAATCCACTAGTGCTTTAAATGAAACCTAAGAAACTGACACTTTAAATCTGTTAACCATTCTACCACAGTTTTCACTCTGCTTCATGGTGATTTAACAAGGCCAAGAAGGCAGATTCTCTCCTTGTGTTTCTGGAAGTCCCAGCTGTACTTCCCTAGCACCTGGAAGGCTGGATGGCCCAGCTGATTCCTGGCAGTCAGCTCTACAGGGAACGCCCCAGACTCGCTGATCCAAACGCTGCGACCGAGTCTGCTGGTTACCATCCCATGAAGTTTCCCTAATGGCTTGTGAACAAGTAAACAAAACATGGTAACACTAAAAAGTGTTTCTGCCTTGGAGGCTATCATTACTGTAGAAGTGTAGTAGTTAATGGTGTAGCTAGGTCACCAGACGGGTAAGATACCACTTCTTTAACTTTTAAAGTGACGTTAACAGTGGAACGAATGACACCTGAATGACTGAGCTGGCAGTCGATGCTGATACCGATGTCTTTTCTGCTAGTGCAGGGAATTTTCATAGACTTTTTACAAGGAAAAAGATGCAAATTGAGGGCATCAAAGACAAGTTTTCATATTAAACTAAATCAGACGATCGATCCTTTATATTTCCTTTTCTGGATGTGTACAGTAGTCCATTTCAGGTGGTTGGTGTCTTGATCGTTTTAAGTATGAGAGACAAAAGGAAAGCACCAAACATCCAGTATAGAAAGCACAGCCATACATTTGTATGTACAAGGTCATCAGAAATGCAACCAGAATTTAAAGTTTGAGATCTGACTTGTCACCATGCAATCTTGAATGTTCAGAGAAGAAAACAGAAGCTTAACTATTTTTTTTGCATGAAATGGCTGATTTAAGAGTTTCAAAAGTTTGCATTTTCTAGTTTTAAGAGTTTAAACAGCAAGGAGTATATATCGATACATATGAAAATTTCTTGGTCCTTGTTGAGTTTTTATCTATATATATATATACATATATAGATATATATTAAGTCCAGAAACTAAGCAGCAGTAAAAATGTTTTTCTTGCTTTTCATCCCTGTACATAAAGTATTAGGAATGTCTGAAATAGCTGGAAAATGTCTTATTGCACCATAGGGGATTGACTGACACTGCTGTTATCCACTGAACTAGGTGAGATACTCGGACTGTGTTCTGCAGTATTTCCATTTGAGCTTGGTGTCAGTGGTTCATGTCCTTCAGAGTTCTCCAGCATTTCCTGAATAAGAGGTGGCATGGATCCAGGAATTTCCATTTTCAATGTAATGACACGTTCTGCACCTGTAAAAAGAAAACACAAAGTCGTTTCCCTTAGTACAATTTGTGCAATTTTCTTCTTGTTAGCATCATCAGTCGTAATCTCAGGGTACGTTATTTTAATGGATTTGGTGCCTCATTCTACATTTCTTGCACAGAAAATTATGTGACTGAACTACTTTATTCATTAGGGGGAAAAAGGAGTTAGATGAGTACTCCTTAACAAACTAATTTAAAATTATGACATAATAACTAATATTACAATAGAGGTAAATTGGATGAACTGCTTCTTTTCATAGAGGGGACCAAAACAGCACTAAATTATGCAAACTGCGATCACATAGATGTCTTTAGCAACTGGAACATACTTTACAGTTTTCATTTGGATCTACAAAGACTACAGAATGACAAAAATTCTTGCTGACTTGTGTTAAATAGGTGACACAAATCCTCTAAGAGAACTGCAGTGATAAAGTCAGAACATTTCCATATAGAAAACTGAAATAAGAAACACTAACAAACCATTGTTCTATTAAAAAAAAAAAAAATTTAAAAAATTTAAAAATTTAGGCAGAAGTATACTTTTTTGTGAAGGTGCCTTCTGTAGTTATCGGGCATCTTCTCTTGTGCTAATTAACCACAGAGGTACACAGAAACAGTAAGTGTGTTTACATCTGACTCAGCTGAAGCCAACTGTCCAGTGTTTGGCCTTGCCAAGTGTAACAACAGATATTTTATATAGAGATGGCTTTGCAGGCTACTGTGTGTAGGATTAAACAGAATTTACTGCATAAATCTTGGCCATTCAGACTGCGAGTCAACAACTAATACTACTTTAGGGGGAAAAAATAAACCCAGGAAGGCACACAGTAACACCTGGTGCTCCTAAGATGTGTTAAAGGCTTTGTGACCACGGCAGGCACAGAGGGCCAGAGGCTACTGGAACAGGCAGACACCTCCCAGTTTACTCATAACTTGCCCTGTGCTCAGTCAGCAGGCAGGGGCACAGCCTGAGCAGAAGCCTATGTTTGGAGAGCAGCCACCCCCCTGCCTGACACGGGGCAGTTAACGCCCAGGGAACTGCTCAGGGGTTCGTAACTCGCTGCACACACAGGAATCCTTAAAGGCAGGATGGACAAAACTTCCCAGTGAAAAAGAAGGCTGTTAGGGGAGAAGCCTGACCCGTAAAGCAGGAGGGTTCAGCGGCTGCTGCTGCTCACAGCACTAGGCAAGCCACGCTCAGAAAGCCTCAGCAGTCACAGGACAACCTCACCAAGCACAGCATTCTGTTGGAAACATGACATAGCTCAAGGCCTGAAAGTAAGTTAATAAACGTTCAGCTACCGAGTGGTAAGGACCATATGGAGACAGGATTATTTTGCCACTACACTGCTAAGAAAGTGAGGTTCTATGGTAAAGATTCTGATCCACAGTGAGGCACAAACGTGCTTTACGTATTTTGCTGCTGATAGGAAGAAGATTTTTCTTATCAGGACAACATCAGGCTATTTGTAGCCATAAACCTCAGCGTTCAAATGTCTGCTCTAACACAGTGCATAGGGCTCCTGGTCATCTTAAAATTTGAACCTAATGGAATAGGAATCTTATGTTTTTAAATGTGAAGGCAGGCAAGAAGAGCCAACAAAACTGACGAGGAAATAGTCTGGTTGTTGAAGACACATTCCATAAGAGAGAACCTCTGGATATATTCTGCTTATCCATGCTGCTGCAGTGCACGTGCTGGAGAGAGAACACTGTCAGCGACAGCACTGACCCCAGCGTGGAAGGGATGTTTATGTTTATGCTGAACTAAGGAGCTTCAAAAAAATCATCTACAAAAGCAAAGAGAAACTTTGCAACCAAATGTTGATTTAAGTCTCTTAAATAACTGTTAGGAACAATGTGGCAAGCTCTGTAATTGGAAAAAATAATTCTGAATTATGCTGAGAGCTTCTCTGAAAACCATCTGTAGCCAGAGCAGCGTTGATAAACTGACTTGGGCCGCATTAAATATCCGCCGTCTGCTGCTACACAGTAGGTCAGCTGCAGCACCCACTGTCTGTGTGGTTCTTCCAGTGTAAAGCCACAGTCAGCTCTTGTCTCCCAAACCTACAGCTGAATACTAGGATGAGACCGCCAAAGACAGTCTCCTGCTTCAGTCCCACACACAATTTCGTTACAATACTTCTAATGCCACAGAAGACTGTAGCTGTTGTATAAGGAACTACGGTGTAAGGAGCTGGTCTTTTTGGTTGGTGCTTGCTCGGGCAACTGCCTACAGGGGCAGACAAATGAGAGGAGCACAGTCACCTTCATGGCCCAGCACTGGCCAGAACGGGCGTCCAGAGAGGCTGACAATGAGCCGACACACATGACTGTCCACTGCTGCTTTCAGAACAGCTGCCCAGCCTCCTCTCGCAGGCTGCACATGTCGAGGGCCACAGCACTAAGGGGGGAACCCCTCTAATGAGATCGGAGTCCTCAATTCTACTTGTGCTTTACAGAGCTCATGTGGTAGTGCTTAGACTGCATGTGTGTCACATCATCAGCCAGTCACAGCCAAGACTGCCCAAAACATTAAAACAACACTGGTCCATGTGTAAGCATGGTTGTTTGGATTAGAGGTGCTCAAACTCTGAAATCCTAGAACAAATCAGTTCTTAGTCTTCAGTATGTCAGATCACAGTTTAGAGGAATTTTGGACGCACAAGGGTCTTCTATGCTCTGTAAACAGACTTTGTTTCTTGGAAGCCATTATCAATACAAAGTACATGTTGACCTGTACCTCCTTGTGAACATTAACAAAAGTTTAATTCAGGGTTTTATCTTGTCTTAAATGACTAACAATGAGTTCGTGCTAACGATTTACTAACCTACGTACACCGAAGACATAATTTTCACCATATGTTGTATGAAAAATGTAGCACCCTGTATATTTGAAGTAGAAACAATCTAAACATGGGAGTTACACGAAGAAGGGAAGAGAAAGGTCACAAGAACTTTCTTATATATAATAAAAAAATAACAACGTAGGTCTCTAGGCCGGTTTCCTCTGAAACCTAACACTGACACTATTGCTGAATTAGTGGGAGACACTGTACCTTTTGCACTGATGCTACGAAGATCTGTGATTTTCATTAAGATCTTTGGGAACATATGAGGCTTGTTGGGTCGTCTCTTTCGGATATAAATTTTCAGTGCTTCAAGCAATGGTTCCTGAAGCTTATCCACTTTCATTGGTTCTTCAAGGTCCTGGCGATCTGTAGAAAATTATCATATCACTTGTATGACTTTACTTTTGGTTTTGTTTGTTTTTTACAAACTCCAAATACCAGAAGCTCTTCCACGTTCCTGAGTCCATGGAGTTCTAACTCCATGAATTTCATCCTTCTCCCTACTTAAGACCCACACTCTGTAGTGAATATTCCATAGGATGAGGATAAACAATGGCTTTCTGGAATTTAAGTACATTTTTCCTTGGTGACTAGAAAGGACTGTCATTTAAGTGGTCCAGAATTACCACTTTGCTCTTGTACCTCCCTCTCCAAGGGGAAAACACATTGCTGCAAACAGTATTTCAGAACAATTTTTCTATGCATTACTGATAAGCTACCTAGGAATACAAAGGAGATTACAGCCAATTCATTTTTTGTATCAATACTAAAATAAAGTGAGTTACCATCCGGTATCAGCAGATGGCAGTGCTAGCTTGAGTGACAACAAATGTCACCCATAAAACAGGATGCACCAGTTAGGTATTAATGACCTCTCAGAACCCATCAATGGTTTTGATGGGTCATGGTTAGAGACACATAAAATCGGAATGGTTTTGTACTGAAAGGGCCACTGCCAGCAAAGACTGACTCTTGGTTTTTAAACATTCTCTAGTAGCACCCAGTTTGTGGTGCTTAGTTGCTGGCTGGGGTTAAACCCCAACAATGAGCCAACTAAATAAGGTGCTTCTACTGCTGGTCCAGATTTTGCAAAGGAGGAGGGAGACTAGTGGTAAACGTAGCAGAAATTTACAGAGGATTTTGGAAATTACCTGAGACTTCACACTTTTTGTGTTTCAAAACCATGATTTCACTTGACAATGCCCCTTTCAAGCTGTAATCGCCTCCCCTCCAAATAATGTGATCAGTGCCATTACGCTGATTTTGAAATATAACTTCTTTTGCAGATAAAGTTATCACCAATGACTTGAGTGTGAATGTAACTATGTGATATACATGCCATTGTATTTACGAGTAAAAGCTCCACGATGGGCATCTTGCTATAACAAAGGTCATTCATACATACACCACTAGTAAAAAAAAAATTCAGCAAGATATATCCTGTAGTCTTTTGTCAGGCAAAGGATAGGATTAGTTGCTTGACAGAATGACTTGATTCATTGAAAAACTTATCAATGATAAAACCAATAACTATCACCAGTGGATAACAAACCACTAGCGTTCAGCGGTTTATGCAGTGTCTATAGTAATACTACGTACGTATTTTCCTATGTATGTTTTAGTACAGGAAAGCAAAACAAGTGCAACACAACTGAAGGTCTGATTGCGTCCGTCCCTTCCTAACGGCTCCGAGGCGGTGCTGTACGGTACCTCCACAGATTAAGCAGATGGCACTAAGGAGCCCCGTTTCTGTATCATCCATTTCCAAAGGCAGGAGCTGGTTGGCAAATGTGAACACGAGATCGGTCAGTGGGCCAAATCCAGCGTTGTGCATCTGAGTTCGGTTTAGGGTAAGGCCATCTGAAAAGGTCATGGTGTCCTGTTCTGGTGTGTATCTTGTGCAAATTCTGAGGATCTGTGGAAGGACAAAGGAAAAAAACCCAAACAACAAATGTTAAGAATTTATCCTGTGAGAGGTTTGTTGCGTTTTCTTGCTGTGGCAAATGACCCACAGAACTGCAGTACCTGGTCAGGTCAAAACAATCTGAAATCAAATGCCCAATTTGTTCAGTTCTTGTAGCAGAAAAATTTTCTGGTACAACATAAATATCATGGATTATGGGTATTTTTTTTAATAACAGAAATCTAATAACACGATTTAAGAACAGAAAATTTTCCCCTTAGTTACAGAATAATCAAAACTTCACCATTTAGGTCACCAACATCACCACAATATTTACGTCACCTGCTCTTTAATTAGCACGCTACACACCCCCAACTGTAAAGCACCATTGTGCTGCTGATCTGATCCAGCAGGACCATAAAACCATGTCACCTCTGTGAACATTCTCCTATCTCATTGCTCTGGGGGATCCATTTTGCATGACAGCACTTCCCTGGGCTGTGTCTCTGGCAAGGACAAGGCACTGACCCTAGATGAAAGAGGCTGGAGGGGAGGATGGGGATTCACACCTCTAACTGGACACGGGGGGATGCAAAGCACATGAATAAGCCGCCGAGGACGCTGCGTTTTGTTGGTAAGTGCCTCTGGGGCAACGGCAGCGTGGAGTGCTGCCACTGCAGAGGTGCTGGCAGGCGGCCGCCCAGCGCGAGCCCAGCCCCTGTCCCAGGACGGAGCCCGCGCCGCACAGGCTCACCCCTACAGCTGCCATCAGGGAACACAGCCTCAAGATCTAACAACAGAGACGTCTGTCACATTGATGTACTGCTGAGAGATGTATCAGTGCTTAATGTTTAAAATAATCAGAGCTGGGACAAGGCTTATCCCTAGACTAAAATAAAATAAAACCTTGCAGAAGTCTAGCTAATCACCTGAGCTAAGACTGGAGCTCTACTGTTTTCAGGGCATACACTATTTATTTCTCATACAGCCATCTTATTTTGTTTTAAAGATTCAACACAAAAAGATTTACACTAGTGTAGGTGAGCAAAGGGAGAATTTTAATTATTCCTATAGCTCCTGAAGCTCTGAGTCTGAGGCCCCAGCACTTGGCAGCTGACCAGTCTGGGCTTGGTTCACCCACTTTCATCTTTGCCTGGCAACACTGCCCAAAATAAGCAGGGAGGAGAATGAGGAAGACATGGCATGTATACGGCCTACATGGAAGCTTTTACTTCTCATCTTAAATTCTTTGGTAAGAGACTTAATAGGGTGTATTTCTGCAGAAGGCTCTTGAACTTTTTCCATCCCAGCAATAACCTTATCTCGCATTGTGGGTATGCGCAACGCGATGGGGTGGGACAGGCATGTTCCACATTGTTCCCCTGCTCCTGGATTCTTCACTGACCACAAATTACCCACTAACCTAAGTCATCTTAAAAAGACTGCTGGTAACTCCAAAGACTCTATACACTAGCCAAACTGTGTTTCAGGTTTATTAGCAGAAATTAACATTCTAAAGCCTGGCACCCTGTCAACAAGAGACAGCATGTTTTCCATAGCCTGCGCTGCCAGTAACCACTGGCAGTTCTCTCCCCTCAAGTTCGCTGTTGATTATCCTTTTAAATCATTAAAAAGATTGCACAGAAAGGAGAAGAAACATGCAGAGTCTGTTTTCAAGAAAAGCAAGGTTTGAAAACTTTGCATATTTATTGAGAAACTCAAGAGCTACTTAGTTTACTTCTCTAATGGCATGCAAGAGAAACTGGAGTGAAGCTTTTCCTGTCTGAAGTCTGCACATACAACAGCTGCCTTCCAGTAAGGGTGTGTGGCCTGTGATGGTCAGGTATCCAACTTTTGGAGGAAACAAGGCTCTGTACTTCTTAAGTGGTACTGATCTTCCCTTGGCTCAGCTGGGGAGAAAGGCAGAGCCTTTCTTTCTGGTGCTGTTCTAATTGATGAACCTTAGTAGTGAGAGTTCCTCCCACCACACCCTCAGGACTTCCAGCCCAGCAAATTAGCAGAACAGGACTTGGAGTTAAATTGGGTAATGCTGTAGCACTTCCCGAAGGCTGCCTGCAGCCTCCCCCGGCAGCTGCCCAAGGAGGGCTGGCAGATAGTTCCTCCACATCCTCTCTCTGAGGGCAAGTTTGGATACCGGCTGCCAGTCCTGCACCTCCCAGAGCCTCCCAGCCTGAGGGACCGGGCTGCCCCAGAGCAGCCATGCCAAACAACGTGGAGGCTGAATACAGGGCTCTTGACATGCAAGAGGCTGCTAGCTGCCCCTGCTGTGAAGCTCTCCATGCTCACCCCCACGTGCTGTAAGCCCCACTCTCTTTGGGGGTCGTGCTGGGGGTGCTCAGCAAAGACCTACCAGGCCACTGCCCCCCAGGGCTAACGCAAAGGAAGACTTCTAGGCTGGATCCTCACTGGGAAAGAATTTGGCACTAGGTTGCTCAGCCCAGAGCCCCTGCAGGCATGCACAGAAAGACACCTCCAGGGGCCTTGCAAAATTTATAATTAAAACATAAAGGTCCCGTGGAATGTAGCTGCTTCCAGGCTTAGGCAGCAAGTAGGTCGGCTTCCTGCAGAAGGCAGGCTTCAGGCTTCAGGCTTCGGACCTGAGCACTGCCCCAGCCGTCCACGGGAGGAGCCTGCGGGGCTCCGCTGGGCACTGCCGCAGCTGAGCTTCGGCAGCACTCAGCCTGACTGCAGCCATCCAGTCTCAGGTTTCTCCTGCATTCCTTCAACATTATCCCACAACACGCTGTTATTAAACTCCAAGACAGATCATTTGAAATGTTGCTGGGTTTTTTTTAAACTTGTGTCCTTCATCAAGATCTGTGGAATGCCATGGATATTGCTGATTTGCTGCTAAACCTTTCTTGGGCAAACTTCCAGTGTCAAAGTGAAGTTGATTTCAAGCTCATATTCACTGAGGAACATATGGGAAACGTCAGCACTCAAAATAAGAAATCACAGTATCTTTCTCCATTTGAAACTGAAATGCTGTCTACAAGACATCCTCCTAATGTCCTCAATGTTGTTTAGATTTTGTAATCAAGCCAAGTATTTTAGTTGTCACTCTGCTCTTAAATGCCACTTGAAGTTATAAATAAGGTTCTTGCCCATGATTAAAGCACCCTTTGTTTTAAGGAATAACTACATCTTAAAGCATTTGGAGTTCCTAAGAGCCAGTTACAAAGAGGAAAGGAAAAGCCCTATGGGTTGCAGAAAACCATTCAGAAAGTTGCATTAGCTGCATTTATAGAATTGTTGCTGCCATAGAAGTGTTATTCATTTTAAACAGATTAGTTAAGGCAAGATGGTTTGGGTTTTGGTTTTCTGAGTTTTTTTTTACAAATTCTGTTGTTAAATGATAGCTGCCTTAGCTGGCTGGGACAGCTTCCCGAGAGGAGAAACCCAAGCAGGTGACTCTGAAACAATGAACAAGCCTCCATGGCACTGTCATACCCCATCAGCATGGCTTATTCTGCAGACACAAATGCCTTCCTAGCACTAACACGCAGAGTTTTACAACACAAAGCAAAAATGACATTATTAAGGATTAACATTCAAGGACTTCTCAGGCTTTTATTCATTGGATTTTATCCAGGCTGGACTCTGGACTCTTTCCACATTTGTTTTGCCAGAGCTCGGCGGGGCTGGGAATGCTCGATCGCTGCCGGGCCAGTGTACCAGCAGACAGAAGCACTCGCTTCTACAAGGTTACTGACTGAATTTGAGTAACATTTATCCCTGGAACTCTTGGCACCAGAGCAGATATAAATTCCACCCTCCTCAATTGGCGCCTTCAGCTGCCTTGCAAAGCTTGATGTTATTTGCCTTCCAGAGATTTTGGATGTTCGTATATAAGACAATTCTTTGGCACATACTCAGAAGATCTTACTGAGCTCCTGGCACCGTTTCCTTTGTCAGTGTGTTTGAGAGGGGTTTAAGCATCCACGGCCACAGGAACCAACTGAGCAGAGCCCTTGGCAGGGTGTAGAAACGCGCAGGACTCCCCGCAGCCAGTGCTGCTGGGTGGGCAGGCAGGGAAGGTGGGTTCTGCTGGTGGGGGCAGCCCGGCCACGCCACACGGCTGGGCTGGGAGCCCCACCTCGCTCCGCTCTCTCGCGTGCTCTGAGGACACGTCCAGAGGGCTGCTCAGCGGCGGGGTCCCGAG